TAACTGTTAGCGTTTAGTAGAACATCGACAGCTAGTATTCGATAGCTTCAGCGCACGATAACTAAATTCATCAGAACATCCGTAACTAATCAAACAACGAAATGATCAAAGAACAAAGACTGATTGAGCAGCAGAAAAATGATTCGCGGTTTACATGAAATCTCAGATCGCTCATGATTGCAATCATGAGCGTTTAACATCAACTGAATCGAAGAGCACTATCAATCTAGAGCATTCAGTCCATAACAAAGAATTTCACGTCCTAAACACTGTATGATCACGTGATACGATTTAGACGAATTGAGCAAAGCGAATCTCATTGGATCCTTAATTTGCAAATTTTTTTAGCATTATCAACTGAAGTCGCTTGATTTGGCTGCTTCTTAATGAATGAACGTTTGTTGATAAGTGCTGATAGTTTTCTGATTTAGATAATGCTTGGAGTGGGACGACCGAATGCGAATGTCGCTTTTCCAGATTTCTTTGCTTTGTCGACCGATATTTGGTGGATCAGTGAACTGCAGAGATTCCATGACGAAGTTGGTCGTGTAATTTGTGATGAGCTGATTTAAGTGTTCTGAACTTTTGACGAGAATTCGCTTAAAAAACAATTGATTCTGTAAAATGATTCGAAATTCGGCGCAATGGTGGAGACTCCGAGGGAATCGCGAAGGATGAATTGAATTGAATAATATACTATTCTCGAACTGTTTCACGTGAACGATTCTGCTTCTTCAGCTTCTCCTGTTGCAAACTAACTTTAGGTTTTAGCAATCCACAATAATAAAAAAGAGTTGTTTAAGCTTGATTTTGATGGTGTCTGGCTTGATATGAACGAGCCAACCAGCTACGGAACTAACGAACTGAATCCGTGGTACTTCAACGATCCGTCTCATGCAAAAACCGTTCCTTTGCAATGCCCAAGCTCCAAATACGACAAACCTCCATATCAAACATACAGTGTGTACGATTACATTCACACGAATGCTAACGTGAGGCCTCGTTTCTGTTTGTATATCAGTGAAAATAAATTGTCTGAAGCGTTTGGATCATTTGCATCCAAATATTCTTGACTTCATGTAACTCATCACTAATAGTTTCTTCATGAGAAGCGTGTATCGCTTGAGCATTTTCTGTTGTAACTGAGTATTTGAACAGTTGATAGAAATGGAATGGAACTCTCACCGTGATAGATCATTGGACACAATTGATCAAGATGAACCTGAAATAACGTGTGCAGCAATTGCGTGTCATGACACGCCGATCCTTCTCTTTTTGCGTCTTACTTATCTTCGTGAAGGTTATTAAACCTGACTGAGCATATGGATGCTATATCTGTAATAGTTTTAATCAGTAATTAACTTATTTCCAGGTTCTGAACGAAGAGCCTTAAGTAAACAATGCAAGTTGTGATTTGAAAGGAGTTCCATTAACTACTTGAATTCCAGAGTTCACTTGCATCAAAGACATTGTGTATGGCAGCGATTTCGAGAGCCGGTCCAATGTACGATGTGAAGAATCTTTATGGGCTTCGTCAAAGTTACGTCACTCAAGTCGCACTTCAGAATATAACACATAAGCGTGCTAATGTATTGACCAGGTAATTGCTTATTGATAGTCGTATCCTCATGATCGGTCGGAGAAGTTCGATAAACGACTGTCTTAGGGGTTCGATAGTTGATTGCTCGGTTTTTTCACCCCAACACTTCCTTCAGATCGTCTTTCCCGTCCGGAGGTAAGTATGCTGGTCATTGGCTTGGTGAAAATTCAGCAACATGGTATGATATGCGAACGTCAATTGTGAGTGTACAACTCTTCAATATGTTCGGTATTCCGTACGTTGGTGCCGATATTTGTGGTTATCACGGCAATGCGACAGAAGATCTGTGTGCTAGATGGCAACAACTCGGAGCGTTCTATACATTATCCAGGTACCGAGTGATATCTACTGCTTGTACGATTTGAATGTGCGAAATCTTTTATCTACCGCCATATGTAACGGGTGACAAATGCTATTCCAGTGGGTTTACATTATTTTCAGTGAATACCTCTTTATTTGAACGATCAGATTGTTTCAGGAACTATAATGATGAGATCTCGTCACCTCATGAGACCTCTACGCCTCAATACCCAACAGTTTGGTCAAAAATCAGTAATGTAACACGACAAGCGAATCTATTCAAATATCAACATTTACCATATCTGTATACGTGAGTATTTCACTTGCACATTATACTTTTAATGCGTCAACGAGATTTTGTTGCGATTTCATATTGCTAGACACGGAAAGTTTGTGAACTCGGCAATCATCGTTAAACAAGAAATCGTTAATAAGCATAATGTGGTGTTCGACTGGAATGATTGAAAATTCATGAAAACTATTGTGGAAAAAAACAGCTGAAAAAATTCGAAAAAAAATTCAATCGAAATATTTCGTGGGCTTTAGGCGTAATATTTATAAAACCAATTCAGTTCGATGATGATTTCATTCCTCACAAAATCTGCATCAGATATCCTAGAATGAACGAGTTTCATCTTTACTAGAGGTATCAGAATCTCGTCAGCTGATATACATATTAGAATGTATTGTTTTAGGTTGATGTTCGAAGCGTCAAGAATTGGCGGTACTGTGATTCGTCCACTTTTCTTCGAGTTTTCCAACGACAAAACAACGCACGGTATCAGCAATCAGTTCATGTGGGGATCGGCAATGCTCATTGTTCCTGTTTCGAGTGCGGTGAGAATTGAAACGCTGAATTTCAGATTACGTTTGTAATTAACACATTGGAATTATCTGTTTCGTGAAATCCTAATCGAATCGAAACAACCATTTCACTGTCGTTGTTGAAGTACATGGCTTGGTAATGTTTTTGTTGAGGGGTTCACGATGAACAGCGACTATTCTCAAATGGCAAGCATCTATGCGGATCCAAAACCGATCACCAATTTCAGGATCAGTCTGAAATACAAGCATATCTCCCGTCAAGCGCTATGTGGTACTCGATGAGGGAAAATATCGATTATGCGCAAAAAGTATCGGGCGGCTCTGTTCTGCTCAGTGCACCACAAGACGACCTCATCCCAGTGTTTATCAGGGGTTCAGAGAATTTTTTTCAGATTCCACATTCCACATTATATGTGCTTAGCATGTGTTATCTGTTATGACAATGAACGAAAAAATTAACGTCATAAACTCGGATATTAATACTCCTTATATGGTGTAGATAAGTAATTCCTCATCAAGCTCCAATTGTACTTACGTTAGCACGCTACGACTTTTGCCTATTCATTTATTCACAGCGCTGTCGGATAAACGAGTTTTGTTTTGGTATAAAATATGTGTTCGTTTGTAGGAAGGTTATTTTGAACTGAGATGAGAATATCCCGTACTTAATGAGATTAATTCAGGCGGATCGATCGTACCACGTCAGC